GTTTGTTGCTTCATAAGGAAGAATTTACAGGTCTGTTAATAAAAAAAAAATAAATTATTTCTTTCCAGAGATTGAAATGAAAAATATTGCTATCAAATAATACAGTTAACCATTTCCCCCAGCATTACCACTGCTGGAATAAAATTGAAACAATGATATTCCATTAATATTTTCTTTTAAGAATTTTTTTCTGTAGCTTTGGGAAGAGGCAAATTGTTAAACTTTTCACAATGGACAAACCTTAAAAAGTTGTTGCTCTGAAAAGAATTATAGCATTAAAAAAATCCAAAATCTCCATTTTGACCAGTGTGACATATTTTTAATTCATGTGCACTTTCTCAGCTGCTAAAGTCCAGAGTTTTCAACTGGTTGAAAAGTTGATGGATGAAGAGCAGATTGCTTGACTGCCTGGTAATATATCCAGAGGGGAAGGGACACTGTCAGTCAAGTGTTCCAGTACTGGAAGGGCTTTTGACCAGCGAACTATCTGTACGTGCCTAGAAGGCCAAAGTCAACCTGGGCACGTCACACCATACCATGCCATGCCAGCACAGATGTGAGCTTTGAGGCGTCTTTTTCCCAAAGATAAGTGACAGTCGTAGAAGGGCTCCAAAATGGGAGGTGGGGTAAGACAAGCAGACATGTACTCACACACACACACCCCCCACACGCATACTTACATACTGGGGTCACTCTGTTTTCAGGTGAAAGCAGCTCAGCAGCATACAAACGGATCATAGCTGTAACTCAAAGCGCCATGGTGAAGTGTCGTAGCAAACCACAACGGCTCACAGGAGCTTCAGTTCTGCTCAGTAAGAGGCACGTGAGTGAGGGATTTCAAAGGGAGCAGAAAGCTGTACTGACATCTATCTTGTTACAGTTGTAATGATGAGATGCAGCCTTGTGCAGCAGTGGTTTATATAATGTATAACAGAATGCAGTGCCTGGGAGCTGAAGGCCTACATTCCCATGTAGATGAGAAAACATGGATATTTTTTCAACATGGTAATGGAGAAATCTGTAGTTCTCGGGAAGTTATACTCTGCAGAATTGGCACAAAGAATGCATCTGAATATACCACTGAGATTATGTGTTAAATAGAAAGCTCTTGCTTTTTTCCCTGAAGACAGTGACATCTCTGGGGGGGGTTAATATCCCTTCCCCCTGATGTGGCATTAGAAGAGTCAATGAACTTGAGATGGTCCTAGGGAACACAGTGCAGAAGAAGTTAAGTGGCAGAAGAGTAGGAAATATCTTTGAGGGGAAAATGAGCTTTTCTTGTGCTACATCTCTGCATTATCTTAATCTGTGAGGACATTCAAGACCTGCAGACTTCCAAGAAGTGACAACTCAGCCCAGTATTGTAAATGTGGAATATGTTGGCTTTCTAAAACTTCCTGTTGTGCGGAAAGAGACATTCAGCGTGATCAGAAAATAACTTACATTCTGATATTTCTCATGTTTCTTTCAAAACCTTGATGAAAATCAAGTACAGTTAATCCAGTTAAAATGTCCTCCATATATATTTTAGCACAAGCAAGCCAGACAAACACTTCCATGTACAAACACAAAAAATATATATGTATTTTAATTTTCATTTGGTCATATTTTATTTAACAGAATGTCATTCTTCCTCAGTTACCAGCAATGATTTATAGAAGTAGTACTCTCCAAAGCAGCCCATTGATCACAGAGAAATGGTGATATTTCAATATACAATATAAATAGTGACATATTTCACAAAGTCGCTTAATCTTCAGATTGCAGGTTGCAACACAACAGACCAAAAGTAAGCATCTGATTAGGTCCAAGAATAAAATTCAAACTGACAACAAGTTGTGAAAATCAAATTGTCATTGAAACTATACATAGAGAGAACATCATTGATAGGCTTGTCCAGGCTTTACAAATCACAGACCCCCTGAGTCCTAACAATACTAAATTGAGAAAAAAACAAACAAATTTTATCCTGAGGATACAAGCACTGTTTTCAAATTACTCCTGTAATTTAATTTTTTATTTTTTTATATGGTGCTATTGTTTTTTTCCATAAGGCTCCAAAGTAGATTACTGTATGCAAAATGACCTGTATTCAGTGGTTACTGCTGTGCAAGTACTACAGATCACATGAGCCTTAAGGCACAGGTAGCCAATATAGCAATTTTAGATGCCACCACAACTATCTGTTTATCATTATTCTCATAACAAAGTTGTTTTAATAGATTATGTGAGTGCTTGTACATTAGCATGACTGCAGAATCAACAGAGTTAGCATGAGTTGTGCACAATCTACACTGGGACAGAAGTACTTCCATAATCAGCTGTTGCTCAAATACTGGGAGAGCAGTTGCTCAATTGCTGGGACAGCAGTCCCTACCTGAAGAGTGATAATTAATAGTCAAGGGAAGGCAATATCTTAAATCACAAGAGCTGTCGCAGATGATCACTTATCTACACCTGCGTGGACTCCTAGCCAGAGTCTGTCTTGTATTTCTCTATGATGATGTCGGCTGTTGCTCTTTTTTTTCCATTTCACCATTTATTACCAGAAATTTGGATAAGGAAATATTTAAAATAATTTCAGGATGTTGGGGTTTTTTTAGTTTTCTCAAGTTATTCATAGAATAAAGTACAAAGTATATACAGAAGACAGGATGTTGTTAAATGCAAAGGGGAAGAAGAAAGGATGCAGAGCTGAGAAAGATTTGTAGGATACTGTCCACACAGCACTCCATAAAGTAAAAGAGCTAGAGAACCAAATGGTTTTAAAGTGACATTCTTTCAAGTTGAACGCTAATTAACTGCAAAACATTTATTTATTTTTTTAGTAGTGTCAGGTATTCTGTTTGTGCCCTTCTGAGTATATTCATAGTTTAAGAATCACATTTTCTATTAATTCCTTTTGCCACTGTGTGAAAAATGCACATGGACCTCAGAGAAAACCATATTTAAGGGAAAGCAATTGTACACTAAGTCCCATCAAGTGTGCAATGCAACCAAACCCTGAAACTTTGTTAGCATAATCTGAAGCATTACTTGTAGCAATCATCAATTTAATATTTTTAGAATTAAGTGTAATGCTTAAAGTTGTCAGTTTCCTTTAAATCATCTCCACTCTGAGTGACTAATGGCTACAATTAACATCACCAGCAGAACTGTTTAAAGACACAGGACACAGATCACCAGTTAAAGCCTGAAGGCGGCATAATTAGCAAAAGATACTGAGGTGTGCAGGGGAGATTCTCACACTGCTTACACTCACTGCCTCCTATACAGAGTGGGCACGGACACTGATGGCAGGGCAAGACACGCTTTATTCCAGGCAAGCACTAAATTCTGCCCCAAAATTATTTCTACAGCAAGGAGTTGCAGAATACACCCCTCCTTTCTCTTCCTATGGACAGGCTGGTGAACGTTAGCTTCCAGCTCCTGCATGCTACATGATACGCACATCCCAAGACCCGCACAGAAACAGCAGCATCAGAGGCAGTTCAGGCTTGGCATGTACAACAGATTTAAATATGTTGAAACCAAGTCTGTTGGAAAGAGAGAAACATGGTGTCTCTCCTTTCTGATGACAGATGTATGGTGGGGTTTGTAAGTCCTCTCTCGTATCACAGAGCAAGTGAAAGCCTCCCCACCATTACATTAAAATGATTGATCAATTCACTCCAACTCCCTGTTGTTTTTTCTGCCGAACTCCCACCTTATGAGTGTGTGACTCCTTTCCTTCTCTCCCTGCATGACTTCTTCAGTCAGGGAACACATGGCATTTCACATGTTCCTTCAGGTACGAGGACTGAGTCAGGCTGGGGGTGAGGCTCTGGTGGCATGAACTGATCCATTAAACCACGTTCACAAGCTCAGCTACTGCACCTACAATTTCACATGGTAACTCAAGCTTTTTCAAAAGATTTAGGAAATTCCACCATGGCCACACAAGGTAGACCATGTGAAAAATGGAAACTCTGCTCATAATGTAGATGGGGAACACAGTACTGGCTACTGATTCACTTCTTGGAAGTGTTCATATGAGTTCACACATATATTTTTTGCCATTCATAAGGCTTTCTACTGCAGGCTTGCTTCTGTTTTTTAATTATTGTGTTTTGTCATCTTCTATTATCTTTTCCATTGCTTTTTTCTCCCCTTAAATTTTTATTAACCAAGGGACCTGATCTGAGATGCTTGCCTTTAGGCACTGCTGTGTGTTGCTGATGATGCAACAGCCTCTTTAAGGGATCACAGCAGCATCTCCATATCAAATACAAATCCTAATTAACCCCCATTTGACTGCTGCAAACTGACAGATATGCCAGTTCTCTGGAAGTGAATTCTCTGCTAACAGCAAAAGGCAGCCTTGTCACACCTCTATTAGAGAGGACATGTTGTAAGTGACTGATTCAGAAACAACAGAGCTGGGTGATCATAGTCCTCATAGATAAAATACTTTGGCCATGTTTTAACAAATCTATTTGGATTCCACAGTGGCACCATCAACTCATATTTTGAACTCACTGCAGAAACTTCTCTTTTTTCTCTTTTTAAGCTCCTATCATGTAAGTCTGACATATCTGTTATAAATCAAAGCAGTTTACACACAAAAAACACTGGGGAATGTATGACAAAGTATAGGGAGTTTGTGACTTACCTTTGAACTTCAGTACTGCCCAGCATATCACAGGTTGTTATTTTCAAACAACAAAATCACTGGAAATTGTGCAATCTAACAGGGGGAAATGCCATTTTGTGACAACAGACCCACATGATGGGGAAAACTTAAGATCTCAAAAGCTGATAGGACAAAAATTCCCACACAACTGAAAGCTGAAATGCAGACTGAAAGGTAGGTCCAAGTCCATGTGCTAAATACAGACCTGTGAGACATGATCATTTAAGGTTACAAGTCTATACAGGATGTGGGTTTCTATCTACCTGGCTTGCACTTTCATTTGTGGTCACTTAAGCCGGCCTCTAAGTAAAATGCCAGTGTTCCTTGCATAGTTAATACACAAGAAGCATCTTTCAAGGCCCTCAAAAAGAGATCCTTCCTGACCAAGTTCACAATGCATCCAAGATTTCATTTCAGGGGTCTTCAGAGTAAACTACCTTTTTTTCTTCAATTATATAGGAAGAAAAGCATTTAATTTAAAGGAAAAACTCAGTGTTTACTAATTCCTTAGCAGAAGTGGTAAAATATACATTCAGATTTAACTACACAGGAAAGCAGATCACCCCTGGTTTGTAAAATTCTCATAGTAAAATGTTTAGCTAGGTTTCTAAAGAAACTAGGCATCACTGAAGAACCAGACATTCTTCTTACACAATGTAGGGACACATTATTTTGTCCTGCAGTTCAAACCAGACTGAGGGATCAAGATGTCTGTCTTCATTTTTTGGCATATATAAACACAATGTGAATATCTTCCATTGAGATATTAATGTCTTTAACTGGCTGTGTTTCTGGTTTGCTACCTGAGAAAGAGGAGACAAAAGTACTATTCTCAGCACCACAAATACAGGTTCATAAGCTACTTGTAAAATTCCTTTCTTCAGAAGGACATGATACAACTAGCCACATGATTGATTTTTCAATACAATCTTCTGAGACATCTGCTCTTGCCTTTCACATTGACATTTGTCTTCCAAATTTGTCCTGGCACCCAATGCTGTTGATAGCTCAGCAGGACATTCCCCATGGGCAAGCAAAGATTACTAAAACCAAATTCAGCACATCCTCCCCAAACTATTTTAATATTCTTCAGAAAATCCTGAAGCCTGATTTTGAACTCTTCTCTCTTCCGTGCTCTTTCAAACATGAGTTTTTCAAAAATTTTGATGAATACATAGGCTGATAATAACAGGAACAATATAATAACAAGGACATGACCAAAGCTTATTGCAAAGATTTTCCCAGGTAGTTCTAAATGGTAGTTCTTGTGACACTTGGCAAACTTCTGAATTTCCCAAACGAAACAGGTAAATAAAAGGCGTGAATAAAATACTGTCAGGTTACAATTTTGTCAGATGTGCTTAGGCTTTTCTAATTAAATAATACAAAGAGCATTCCATGCAAGGTACTGAGCTAAAACAATTCTTTAAGAGAGACATTGAAGCAAACCTGCTCCTCCACATATGAATGACCTCTTGAGGTCCCTTCTATTTTTTTTAATTTCATATTTAGTTTATGTATGTCTTTACAAATATCTTTTGTGTTTAGGCATAGCATGTTTATAGAGTGCAAAGCATCTTTTTAAATATGCTATACAGTAAATTTACATTTCTGTAAAGACATCAAACTATTTTACAACTAATAACTATTGGGACCCTATGTATATATTGGAGCATAGTGGGACTGATTACCTGGCTTTATAGAGCCAAGAGACTATTGACGTCTTTGATTACAGGAGGAAGGCTTTGGACATGGAAGTTTCCATAATTCTTCTATGTATTTTTAAACATTTGCTTCACGGAAGAGACACCATGTAAGGGGTTATTTTTACATCTTGCCAAAGGCCTGAAACTATCGATTTTACAATTTCTTTTTCCTCTTCCCCTCACATCCCCCCTCCTTTTTTTTTTCACTTAGTTACTCGGAGAGGTCTATCTGTTTTTTCTACTAAGTTACTCACATTGCAGGATTTTTTTTTTTTCTGTGCATATTGGCATGCATAATTACAACAAGGTTTATTTATCCACTACACCACAAAGGTAAGAAATTAAGAAGAATCCCTCTCAAGCATTTGAATTCTATTTTTAGCATTTCAATTCTGCCATAAAAACTAGGCATTGATTCCTATGACAATAAAGACTGGAAAAAAATCAGTCCAAATTTAATCTGTTAAAAATTGACCTATCTATAAAGATTTTCTACAAGCAAGGGGAAGGTGAAGAAAATCCTTTTTGTACCCTGATGAGTAAAAGAGAAATGCCTTCAAAGAACACTGAAAGCATATAACGGATAATTATTTTTCTCATCAATTTTCATATTTTTATCCAAAGTCACTATTTCAGTTACCACTGACAGAATTTGCTTCATTGAAATAAAAGCTGCAGCCAAGAAAATCTATAGCCCAACTCTTTAACAGTGAGGATCTTGTTGAAAGAATAGGTTTTGTTCTTGGTGAAAGATGAGGTCCCAGTTACACAAAATTACAATATATCCTACTTTCACTTTCTGGAAAGAATATATTAATACTCATTAACTTGAAGTTGAAATCAGGCATCAGAAAACATTACATAAATTACATCTAAGTGCATAAATAAAGGATTTGCAAACAAAAAAAATCTATAAGCTTCAAAACAAATTTTAAGCTTCATACAGTTGAGCAGATAGATATACACTTTCCTACAAAGATGCTCTGTGGGGACATAAGAGGCATTTGTATTTTCTGACCAGACAGCTCATGTACTCTGAAGTCAGCATTGTGCTGGTTTGCACCAAGATTTGGCCCATGTATCTAAAATCATCCATGAAGATTTTGATCACCACTGTGTCACAGTTTGCATACGCATGGGATACTGACGAAATCCTGAAGCCCTTACAAGGAGAAAATTTCTACCAATGTTAGAGTTTTATGTGATAAGGATTTAAAAATCAGATTGATGACAATATACTATTCTACTAACCGTAAGTGTGGGCATATATAACATACATTCAAATACAGCACTTATGCAAATCTTAGAGACAAATCGCACATATCCAGCACGATGTTACAAGGTATGTGTAAAATAGGACTGAATAAAATAGTATATAATAATTCATCAATCTTTTAAGTCTCTCAAACCGTAGAAGTTGTATTAAAACCATTTCTACTACTGAAAACTTGTAGGACAGACTGAAAAGATGTTCAGGCTCCCTAACTTTTCTCTTTGCATTTCATAACATGTATCATGAAATTAGAAGAGCAGAAAGGCGATGACTTGTTCAGTTCCTTAATCAAAGTTCCTTTAATGCAGTGGTGTGTTGGGGCATACACTATTTATCAGTGTTGCTAATGAACTGCAAAGTAGGAAAGCTTTATCAGTGTGCTGCCTGGGCTAATCTAGGGTGATGCTGTAAGAGACAGGGTTCTCTTAGCTCTGAGAAATACCAAACTGCCATCACAGAAGTTACAGCTTAAACCTTAGAGATAACACACTTCCAAGATTTCACTCTCCTCTCTCTCTTAATTCATCCCAACCTACTAAATATTACAGCTGCAATCATCCTGGGTGAGGAGAGGTGACTTACAATCAGTGACTGAAACTTCAGTGATCACTGATGTGATACAAGAAATTCTTTAAACTCTGGTGCTTGGGAGGCAGGGTTGCTTTGAGTTGTCTCCTCCACTGTGGTTAGTGTGTTCTAACTAATCCCTGCATTATTGTAAGACATGCTCTTACAATACCTGACTATTCAGATGTCTTGGTGGACACCCTGTGTCTTCTCATTCTGATTGCAGAATTAAGTCCTAATACAAAATGGCATTCTTGACTCAGCATACAACAGGCTGCACATGTACCAGCACACAAACATGACATAGTCCCTGTGGTTCAGGTGATTTATCCAATCATTAGCAAAAGCTGCTGCCCTTCTGAGGTAAAATGTATTTCTCTAGTATGGCACATGTTCAATATATACAGTTACAATACAACCAAAACAAAAGTGTCCTAAACACATAGGCTGAGATGTTTGACTACAACTTATTCATATTAATCCTTGCTTGGAGTGGGATGCTGTTGTTCTATGGAAAGTCATACTCTATTAATAATGACATTGTCTCAATATACAATCTATAATATATCTAAGTACACTGAATAGGTATGATTTCTTGTATAAACCTTCAATTAAATATACTTGTCTAACAATGTCACCTTGTATGCTTGTCAGAGATTGGGAAAAAAAAATATATATATATCCAGTCTCCCAGTGCACAGGATTCAGTTATTAACTTTTAACCTCTGCTGTCACGCTTTACTTCAAATACCAGTTATTACGCTGTATTTAGAAGACTACTTTCTCATTCCAACGGAGAACAGAGTTCTGGAAAAATTCTTGACGTGCACCCAAAATGCAAGAGAAGTAACTCCAATGTGTCTCACACGACAACACCCAGATTAGGGTAACAAGACAGGTTATTTGCAAACTGTAAATGAAAAGTTAAGGAAGAAACCTCACAGATCCACAGAGCCAAAACCAAAGCTGTCAAAGAGTTGTTTCCAGCTCATCTGTTACCTTTTCACAATGCTACATGGTTGATGCTAAATCACAATCCTAAAACATAACGTTATTTGGGAAATAAATTCCTACAGTTAGGACATATTCAACTGATTACAGCATCTCTAGGTTCTTACAGTCCTTCTTTATCCTTGTATGCTATATGAGCATTGCAAGAGAAAACAAAACAGCAGTCAATACAGTAGCTGCAATATGGCTTCCTATAAGAAGGATATTTAATTGGCTTTGATATTTTTCTTTGTCCGGTATGTGTTTCTCTGCATGTATGTGTGTGCATGTGTGAGCACACACACATTTTCTTCTCTTTTTTATGGTGCACTTCACTGACATATTTAATAGTCATTCATTTCCATAGCATTTGTTTACCATAACTTACAAAGTCAAATTGGAGGATTATATCGTATTTACAAACAAGTTGGCACTTACAGAATAAATTATTGATTCCTCTTTTTTTTTTTTTTCATTGTATTTTTCTTCTTTTCTCCTCTTCTTTTTCACCCAAGAGCATCCAGAATTCAGGCAGAATAGTAAAACCTGCTGCCTGCTGCCATCATGCTACATTAACATAAGTAAATAGGATTTCAGCTGGTACTCTTTCCCAATGGTTTGCTTGTTGCTGAGAGGCAGTGTCTTCCACCTCAGTTCATGTCCAATGCTCAGAAACCGTTAGTCAAGTGAAAGTAAAGGCTGCATGTTTTCTTCCTCATTCTTATCCATGCGTTTCAGCACTCCAGGATCCACAACTGACTGAGATCTGCAGAGGGATAACAAGTTTATTTGACATTTCTAGATCAAGACAAATGAGGGTAAAATTCAAGCTTTGTTTTGTCTATTTTAATTTCTGCCAGGGCTTAAAAATAATGGTACAGCATTACCCAATCATCTGATCATTGCAGATGGATAGAAAATACCCTAATGGAGTGATTACATGGCTTCAAAAGCTCGGTTTGTGGATATAAGAGCAAATGGTAGAATAAAATGGATCCTCTTTTCTTCAGCACACGACAGAGGACAAAGTAAGCTGTCTTTTTTACTGACTTAAGCACTGACCCTCTCTACCAGAAGGTTACATGGAACCAGGCTGGTAAAGAAGATACAATTCAGCCACCCAGCTGGCTAATGGCACACTGCAATTAGTGGCACGTGTTAGCTGGAAGCACAAGTTGCTCCTTTTCTGAATAGCACTTCAATGCAACAGTGAGACATCCTGAGCTAGCCCTAGGGAATTCTGCCATGGCCAGTAGGATTTATGGAGCAGTGGACCTATCCGTCAAACTCACTTACCGGCTCAACTAAATAGAACAAGAAAGGCTGGTAAGGGCAAATTCAATGATGATTGTAAAAATTTCCCAGGTTCTCTGATTCAGCACAATGTGTGATGGAAAAAGAGGAAAACCCAGCCTCCAGCAAAATTAAAATACTTCAGTAAAAACAAAGTCTGTAGTGTTAATATGAGGTCTTACATCACCCGTGTCTCAGCTTGTCAAAAAGCACACTTCTTGGGTACGACAAAAGCAACACCTTTTAGACATTTCCTTCAGTGAGATGAATCTCATGCTAGAATCTCATGCCTATTTCTCGTCTATAAAGAAGATTTGGATGGCTAGAGCACATGTATGTCTCTACAACATAGGCATCTATTTTTGATCAGTGGAAGCACACTGTGACTGCACTATTGCTACAGACTTGTCCATTTGGAAGGCTACAGCACTGAGAAAACTGACATCTCCTGAGATATGCATACAGAGTCAGTTGCTCACTCTTCTAAACTAATATCATCTACGAAAAACCAATGAATGATGCTGACAGCAAGAGACAATTTGGTCTTCCACAAAAAAATCTGAACACAACTTCAAAATCACAAAAACCTATTTGAATTACAGCCTAGGTGAAAACTTTTTCTGATAATACTACATTCTCTTACTAATACTAAATGAAGAAAATTAGCTTTTAAAATCTGATGGTCTGTCTTGTGATAAACACAGTTAAAATTTATTTTTTAATTGAAGTTGTACCACAACCCTCATCTAGAACACTCTTCAGATCACTGAATTTACAATTTCTTTTTTTAAAAATCTTCACATGGTACCATGACAATGCAAAGCTGATTGAAAATTTGCTGGTGGGAAGCTGTACTCCTGGAAAATCCAGTTCATTAAGGTCCAAAATGCTATGGAAGCATACCAATTTCAAAAATTCTGAACTGAAAGTAAGTACTAATAGGCGGCTGAGTCTCTTCCTCAGCTGCCAATGTCTGAGCAGCAAAGGTTTCCAGTTCTCATCCGGGGAACTGAAGGGGAGCCAGAAAGGCTGGAAAACTGGCCTCAAATTCTCAGTGAGGCAGATCTGTCCATAAATTCCCAGGGCCTCCAAACTCCCCGATGGCAAGGCGAATGTGAAAATGGAACTGAACAAATCCTCATCTATGACTTGCAAGCTCAGGAGCCCTAGTGCCTTGAAGAAGAAGGAGAAATTATTTTGATTCTGTTTTCAATCAGCATTTACTGCTCTGCTTCATTCCATTCAGCAGCAATTTATGAATGAAGGTATGTAAAAGGAAAAACATTTGTGTAAGTCTACAGCACCTTTTGTCTGCATCTCCCAAATAATTTCACAGACATTACTGAATAAATTCTCCCAAAACACAGTAGGACAGGATTGTACTACAGTCCCATAGCAGAGGTGAGGGACCAAAGTCACACACAGATACTCTGCAAAGTTGATCAACACAGATATCTGCCCTACAGGGTTAGATGAGAAAAGGATGGCAGGTCTCCAGTTGGATTCTTCAGCCATGAGCCACTGGTGGACACAGCCACAGGCTAAACTTGACTGCTGAGACAGCTACCTAGTTCATACCCACCCAGTGTCTTGCTATTTCCCACTTTCGATGCACAGTAGGGGTTTTTGCAACACAAAATCCTTAAACTTCACTGTTTCTTTCCTTTTTTATTCCTATGGCAATCTCCTGTTGTCTCTTCCCTATTTCCCCAAAAATACCTCCCTTTAAAATTGCACTGTCCTCCCCAATCTGTGCAACATTTTCCAGCCAAAATCATCTTCCTGGCTGAGGAGTCTGAAAATATTTTGTCTTGTTTTATCTGCTTCCAGAGACTCTCTCGCTTTTACATCAAATGCCATCTCCTGAAACTGAATTCTCAGGATATCGTATTCATATCTTATTTTAGTGAGCTTATATATCGGTTTGTGCCCTGTTTGTTCTCTTCTGACTCATTGTTAGGCCTACCCTCTGCGAGCTGCACTCTGACTTTTGCTGCTTTGCTCAACCTTTTTTATCACATTGCTGTAATTTTTACCCTTTCTCTTCTACTGCCCTGGCAAGGTTGGACCAGGTTTACCCCTCCCAAGTGAATCACCTCACTGCTTCCATAGTTACTGGAGAGGTAACTAATCTCTACCTATACTTTCCTTTATTTTGAATGGTAAAATACAGCAGCAATTACACTGTACCTTCTCAAATAGAATATAATAATGCCAGGATGTTTACCAGACTGGAGTATAACAAAGGTACTGATTTTTGTCCTGGTTCTCCTTATTAGATTTTCTCATGTTGTGTGCAGTCACTGTGACTAACATGTTTACAGCATGTTCACATGCTGTAAATGCCCTGGCACCTAAAAGTTGGTGGATACCAGGCACTGGGCTATGATGAAAGTAAGAGTTATCATCACCACGCAGCTGGATAATTGGCCCTCTGAGCCAAGGCTCACTCCATCTAGCACTGCCTCTCTTACATGTACTGCACACTGGGGTGGGATATCAGCTTATTCCAAACACACTACTTCATAAACTACCTATATGGCACTGCAGAAATAATTAGTTGCACTGAGCTCACATGTATAATAATTCTATGGCTCATAATCAACAGTGATTTTCTTTAAAAAGGAAAAAAGCAGTGCTCGTGTAACAATAAACTGAGGGAACTATCTGCATCTTCATAAAAGAAAAGAAAGGCAAACGTTAACTTTACGGCAATCCTAGAAGACCACAGTACCTTTTCATCGATTTGGGAGAGAGGTCCTTTTCTACATCTTTTGCTGGAGTATTGTAGGAGTCCGCATTGCATTCACTGTCATCATCGTATTCATGGTCAAGCAGTGTTCTTGCCCATGTCCCCATGTCATAGGGGGGCAACATTCCTCCAAACTCTGAAGGCAGGATCTCGGGGTGTATTAGCTGATGCAGGCTGTTGAGGTTATTACCATGCAGGAATATCTGTATGTACACATGCAGGTAAAAACAAAGCAGTCTCATAAAAATAGTCAAAGCCCAAATTACATCATCATTATTAGAGGATATTGTACAGTTACAATATTCTTGCTGTGTTGGGCTAACAGATATGGCCACCAAGGCACGTATCACCCCTGTCATAAGCATGGTTATACTATGTTCATAAACCTACAAAGTGATTAAAGCATAAATGACTTAAAATGTTTGCAGTGCAAGGGGCTTAAGGAGAGTAAGAACTGATGTCTGAGAACTAGATGGATGGAAGATTAGATAGACAGACTGCCTGTTATTTGCTCTAATTCTGTGAATTAAATTAATAAATTAAGAACATAATAAATAAAATTAATATTCACCATATATATTAAGGAATATATATTCATTTTCAGCATTCAGCCATAAGTTCTGTAAGTAAGATAAATAGTACAGGGTAATGAAAACTCCACTGGAAAGATTTAAAGATTTTCTTCCTTAATATAGTAGTATGAGGAACTACTATCCATACTTGACAATATATGAAATAAGTAATAACAGTAAAATAATCCCTGTGACAACAATGAGGGAATAGTTAATGGACTATTTGATATTTTCCATCAATGTTCTCATAGAATGATTTTCACATATGCTTTACACATACCTGGTAGTGTTCAAGGCCAGATTCGACAGGGCCTTGAGTGACCTGGTCTAGTGTGAGGTGTCCCTGTACATGGCATGGGGCTCGGAAATAGACGACCTTAAGGTCCTTTCCAACCCTAACTATTCTATGATACTATGATTCTGTGATTATGACATGTACGTATATAAATACTTGTATTTACGTTTATTGTTTCCTCTCAGATATCTGGAATGTGTGATCAATGAGCACTAGAAACAGAGCACCTCTGGATTTGGACAGCCTTCTCTGACAGGTACTAGGGACCTGCAAGCTTTCCACTGGGAGAAAATGTCTACTCTTGGGTATGGATGCACAGAATGCTCACAGCAGCTGTTTTTAGACATGCAAGTAAAATGGGCCAGGATTCACCCTTTGGGATTAGGAGTTCACATCCATATGGTTAAACTCCTTTCATCTTGAGAACAAGTTCACCTCATCCATACTTCTCACTGGTCCATGCCATCCCCAATTTGTTCCTGGGCAATGTCTAAGAAAGTACCATCTGGCACTGGCCAGTGCCCTGACAGAAAATGTCCACAGAATTAAACAGTAGGAATGGCAGTGCCCAACCCTTTTTAAATGACTAGCACAGAAGCAGCCAAGGTAGGATGTTGCCTCTTAGGAGCTGTACACTGCCTCTTGTTCCTCACAGGTCAGCAGAGGTGTGAGCACAGACAGTTGAGCACTATCAGTTCACATTCCACTTCACCTTGGAGGAACCCCTTGACAGGGGTATAACCCCTATTTATCAAAAGTCAAATTCAAAAGGATGAAAGACAAAAAGACCAAATACATGCTTGTCTTGCACTATTTCAGCCCATCTTCCAGTCAGCTGGGAAGACAAGAAGCTTAATATGACCATGCAAGCCCAATAATGTTCTTCCATGACAGAAAGAAATTTATCCTTGTGTGAAAGAACAAATATTAATGGTGAAAGTAATTTGTTTTATGGTGCCTTTCCAACGGAGTGTTTCAGTTTTTAGCAATTGTTTTTATACATGCCTAGTACTGACATTTATTGGAATATAGCCATCAGTTGCAAATCCACCAGACATGTTAAAAAATACAAAATAATTCAGGATAAGCAAAACAGATAAATAATGATCCTGATGAAATTCTGATGAAAATTCTGCTTGGTTTGGTTTTGGGGCTTTTTTCACAATGATTTGTTCTACCTCTTATGGTAGTTTTAAAGCTGATTTTAAATCTTATGTGCCAGGCATAACTTTCACATTTTGACATTAAGTTTTGGACTCTAAATCAATATTTAACCACCAGAATACTTCTTACAGGTATTCACTATAGACAAAAACAGTTGTAAATAGTCAGTGTTTCTGAAAATACATGCCACTGATTCAGACGTCTAAATAAAAATTTAGATGTTAACTGATAAGCACCCATGTTCAACTGCCTTGTCACTTATTTTTAATGTTATAACGTGCCTGTGAGCTGTACTTTACTCCCTGGTTATGCATATACAGCACTTGACTTAAAAAGGGCTCAAACATATCTGGCATTATAATATTCTTTGTTGAAGCTGTAGTCAACTGAATGCAACTGAACCCTGCAAAATGGGTTTCCATTTGCATATTTATAACAGATATTACATAAAAGGCTTTGTGATCTATAGTTCAAAACCTGTGGATAACAGAGGCCTCTCAAGCAGAATCTGTCAGTAAAATTCAGTTACTTGCCAAGGACCATTGTGGCCCTTGCAGACTGAGGAGTAAAAATGCAGTCGCTTAGAGAGCTGATCCCATTGAAAAAAAAAAAAAAGGATCATCACATTCTTTGTAGTGGCTTTGCACATGATGCTGATTGTGTTTTCCTGGGTGACAAATTTCCTGTTACAGAAATAATATCATCCTCTGTGCTATCACCACCAAGCTCTAACTTAATTGCATTGATGCAAATGCTGCAAATTCAGCAACATCTCAGAGACTGTGCTTATGTACAGATGCATCTACCCAAATTCCTTTTCATTGGCTTTATTCAAATCAGTATCTGCAAACTACTATATACCAGCTGTGTATTTTAGTTCATGCTAATGTCAAGGAAATCACATGAGGAAATGACTTTGTACTCACTACGTCTTTTCTTAAAAAGAAAGACACAAATAATTGTAATGGAAATTGAATATAATCTTAATAGTAATGGTAATGTTGGCAATATTTTTTATATAACCCCCAGGAGAAAACACATGCTTACATTAAAATACATTTAAATGCACTGCTTGACTGTGTCCTTAAAGGAATGTGCTCTGTAAGTTTCCAAAACAGTTACCCTTTACAGTGCCAATGTATTTAAATGCTTCCCACCAATAGCAAGCTGGTATATTGTGTATATCTACTCTAACAGAGTATGATACACCTGCTTGAACAACTGCCAGGTAATAGACAATTAAACAGAATACCCTTTTTCGTGTCTTCTCCTTTAGAAAGGGACGTATAACTGTGTAGAGGGCATGGATATACCACGGCTGATTGACAAAATGTATTCCTCCAAACCGAGCTGGAAAGCTGTCCTGTATGTCAAAAAACAAATACATAAAATGAAGGTTGGCTTTCAAGAGAAGTTACCCACACATCAAATAATTATTTTTTTCCTGAATGCTTTAGTTTTAATAATAAACCTTAAAAAAAGAAGAAATGTTCTTCAGAATTGTTGAGTTCCAACCTTCCACACCAAGCAGCAACACACCCTGGACAGAGCAGTGAGGAAGCGTGCTAAGGCAGCTATGGTATTCAAATAGCAGCATGGCATTTCTAACTTCCAGAAATGATTTAAATATTCATGATTTGGCCATAATCCATCTATGAAATATAATTTTCTCTCTTCCCCTTCTATGGACTACATTAATTTTTAACTGCAACCATCTCAGATCTTCCACTGCCATTGAAGGGCACTAGAAATGTCTGTCTCGTTTCCACCTCAAAAAAAAAAAAAAAGTGTAAATCTAAACTACTACTCAAAATGTCTCTAATATCCTCCATATTTCATACAACCGAGAATGCATTACACATTATGCATAAACTGTTATGCAATATCCATGACAGTAATTCTTGTCACATAGTCAGAGGCTTTCTGGTAGCTTAAATGTAGGGAATCTGTATTGCATGATAATGTAGGAATCTGATAATGTAGGAATCTGTATTGAAACAAGAACGTCTCTCCGTGCTGAAAAATACAAGGGGCATACAACTCACTACAGAAGATTATGATCTGCGTTTTCAGTTTCTAACTCAAGAGAATACACCAGAGAGTTAGGTAGGTGAGAATGTGGGGCAAGGCCAGCCTACAAGGCCACATAGGAAAAGGGGGTTGACTTTGCACCTTAAGACTGCCTCTGATAAGAAAGAAAGAAGGGTCATTGCAGTAGGGGATTCCCTTCTGAGAGGAACAGAGGGCCTGATATGCAGAGTTGACCCTCATCATAGGGAAGTGTGTAGTCTGCCTGGAGCCCGGATCAGGGATATCACTAGGGCGCTCCCCAACCTGGTGCACCTGACAGACTACTACCCGCTGCTGGTCTTCCAGACAGGTGAGGGGGAAGCTGCTTCCCGCAGTCTGAGGGGGATGAAGAAAGACTACAGGGCCTTGGGGCGGATGGTGAAAGAGTCTGGGGCTCAAGTGATCTTCTCCTCCCTCCTTCCATCTTCCACTGATGATGTGGGAAGGAATGGGAAGATTCAGTTCATAAACAATTGGCTTTGAGACTGGTGCTACAGGCAGGGCTTTGGATTCTTTGATAACGGCTGGTTTTATAGGGCACCAGTCTGGACAATGTCAAGTGAGAAAGGTTTGTCTCACAGAGGCAAAAGGATGCTGGGGCACGAATTAGCAGGGCTCATTTGGAGAGCTTTAAACTAGATTCGAAGGGGGATGGGGTTGTAGCTGGGCTTGCCCCAGTGGGGCAGCACTCCAGAATTAATGAAGACTGGGAGGCCTCCTATAATCCTAGGGTGAAATCGGTGTGCTCAGCTCGCTCCCTGAAATGTCTGTACACCAGTGCGCGCAGCATGGGAAATAAGCAGGAGGAGTTGGAAACCTGTGTTAAGTCAGGAGACTATGATCTGGTGGCAATTACAGAGACGTGGTGGGACAGCTCACATGACTGGAATATAGTCATGGAGGGCTATGTCCGTTTCAGGAAAGACAGGCCAGCCAGGAGGGGTGGTGAGGTTGCTCTTTATGTGCGGGAGGAACTACAATGCACCGAGTTCTGTCCAGGGACAGGTGACGAGCGAGTTGAGAGTCTGTGGGTGAGAATTAAGGGGCAGGCTGGCAGGGGGGATACTGTTGTGGGTGTCTGTTACAGACCACCAGATCAGGGTGAGGAAGCTGACGAGGCCTTCTACACGCAGCTGAGAGCGGCCTCACAGTCACAGGCCGTGGTCGTCGTGGGGGATTTTAACTTCCCTGATGTTTGCTGGAAGGACCACTCAGCAACCCAGCCACAGTCCAGGAGGTTCCTCCAGTGTATGGATGATAACTTCCTCCTGCAAATGGTGGATGAGCCGACCAGGAGAGGAGCGCTGCTGGATCTCATCCTCACTAACAAGGAGGATCTGGTTGAAGCAGTAAGGGTTGAGGGCTGCCTTGGTTGCAGCAACCACGAGATGGTGGAGTTCAGGATCTTGTGTGGTAGGACTAGTAGAATAGCAAGTAGAATTGCAACCCTGGACTTTAGCAGGGCAAACTTTGGCCTTTTCAAGCAATTGCTAGGGGAAATCCCATGGGCAAGGCTGCTTGAAGGTAAAGGGGCCCAAGATAGTTGGTTGGCATTCAAGGATTGCTTTTTCCAAGCTCAAGATCAGAGCATCCCGACACGTAGGAAGTCAAGGAAGAGGGCCAAGAGACCTGCATGGCTAAATAGGGAATTGCTGGGCATGCTCAAGTGGAAGAGGAGAGTTTACAGGTCATGGAAGGAGGGGCTGGCCACTTGGGAGGAATATAAGGCTGCTGCTAGAGGATGTAGGAAGGCAGCTAGGAGGACTAAGGCCTCCTTAGAATTAAACCTGGCGAGAAGGGTCAAGGACAGCAAAAAGAGCTTTTTCAAATACATGGCAGACAAAACTAACACCAGAGGCAATGTAGGCCCACTGATGAACGGGATGGGTGCCCTGGTGACAGAAGATACAGAGATGGCAGAGTTACTGAATGCCTTCTTTGTCTCTGTCTACTCTGCTGCAGGCAGTCCTGAAGAGCCCTGTACCCCTGAGACCTTAGATGAAGTCAGGTCGACGGAGCGGTTTGCCTTAGTCGATGAGGAATGGGTTAGAGATCAGTTGAGCAATCTGGACATCCATAAATCCATGGGTCCAGATGGGATGCACCCGCAGGTGCTGAGGGAACTGGCGGAAGTCATTGCTAGACCGCTCTCCATCATCTTTACCAAGTCTTGGGAAACGGGAGAGGTGCCTGAGGACTGGAGGAAAGCAAATGTCACTCCAGTCTTCAGAAAGGGCAAGAAAGAGGACCCGGGTAACTATAGACCAGTCAGCCTCACCTCCATCCCTGGGAAAGTGATGGAACACCTTATCCTTGGTGCCATCTTAAAGCATATCAAGGATAAGAGGGTTATGAGGGGCAGTCAACATGGGTTCACCAGGGGGAAATCATGTTTGACCAATCTCTTAGCCTTTTATGAGGAAATAACGCGGTGGATGGATGATGGCAGAGCGGTGGATGTGGTCTACCTTGACTTCAGCAAAGCATTTGACACAGTCTCCCACAGCATCCGCACAGCTAAATTGAGGAAGTGTCGACTGGATGATCAGGTAGTGAGGTGGACTGCGAACTGGCTGAAGGAGAGAAGCCAGAGAGTTGTAGTCTATGGGGCTGAGTCTAGTTGGAGGCCTGTAACTAGTGGAGTGCCTCAAGGGTCAGTACTGGGACCGGTATTATTTAATATATTCATCAATGATTTAGATGAGGGAATTGAGTTTACTATCAGCAAGTTTGCTGATGACACTAAGCTGGGAGGAGTGGCTGACACGCCAGAAGGCCGTGCTGCCATCCAGCGAGACCTGGACAGGCTGGAGAGTTGGGCAGGGAATAACTTGATGAAATATAACAAGGGAAAGTGTAGAGTCCTGCATCTGGGCAGGAACAACCCCAGGTTCCAGTATAGGTTGGGGAACGACCTGTTAGAGAGCAGTGTAGGGGAGAGGGACCTGGGGGTCCTAGTGGACGACAGGATGACCATGAGCCAACACTGTGCCCTTGTGGCTAAGAAGGCCAATGGCATCCTGGGGTGTATTAGAAGGCGGGTGGTTAGTAGGTCGAGAGAGGTCCTCCTTCCCCTCTACTCTGCCCTGGTGAGACCCCATCTGGAATATTGTGTCCAGTTCTGGGCCCCTCAGTTCAAGAAGGACAGGGAGCTGCTGGAGAGAGTCCAGCGCAGGGCAACAAAGATGATTAAGGGAGTGGAGCATCTCCCTTATGAGGAAAGACTGAGGGAGCTGGGTCTCTATAGTTTGGAGGAGACTGAGGGGTGACCTTATTAGTGTCTATAAATATATAAAGGGGGAGTGTCACGAGGATGGAGCCAGGCTCTACTCAGTGGCAAACAATGGTAGGACAAGGGGTAATGGGTACAAACTGGAACACAAGAGGTTCCACTTAAACTTGAGAAGAAACTTCTCAGTGAGGGTGACGGAACACTGGAACAGGCTGCCCAGGGAGGTTGTGGAGTCTCCTTCCCTGGAGACATTCAAAACCCGCCTGGACACATTCCTGTGTAACATTATCTAGGTGTTCCTGCTCCAGCAGGGGGATTGGACTAGATGATCTTTCGAGGTCCCTTCCAATCTCTAGCATACTGTGATACTGTGATACTGTGAGTTTGGTAGCATGAAGAAGGCAACCACTCTGTCCTGGATACTTCTGCCAAATTCATTGCATGTCCTCATTTTGTCTTTGTGACGTTTATCACACGCACAAACAATGCAATAAGCTGCTGCCACCTCCTTTCTTGCCTAGAGTTACAGCACTGAACAAGGAAGCAAGAGGTGTAAACAGCCTTGTAAATTGACACATGTCCCCATTTGTTTTCAGGTTATGTAATTCGAAGCATACTGATTTAAGGTCATACAGCACATAGCAAAAAAATGACCAGAAAAAAGCATAAGCTGTATCAACCAATCAAGAACTGTCAGATAAGGAAACCAAGAACTGTAGGAAGAAAATCTTTCATGAAATGTTTCCAGATAGAAATATACTTTGAAAAGGTGCATGTTCCAAGAAAGCTCCTTAATTCTGGGGATGCGTAGCCTGTGGGAATAATGAAGCCTGAAGACATCACTCTCTCCTCTCAAAAATACCACACAAATGCCAGCAGGCATTCCTAACCCAGAGGTCTCTACAGGAGGGCATCACCTGTCTCCAAATTGCAACTACTTGGTGGATTCTCAGATGCAGTCAAGGAGGCAGCACCTTAACAATAATCTACAGGGAGGCTGAAAGCTACAACACGCATCACTAACATCTGGCTGGCCACAGCACAACAGTCAATGCCATTAA